CCCGATGTGGGACTATGGAACTTGCCAAAGTAACAAATCTCCACCTTGGCATGTCCTAACAAAACTTGCTCCACCTTCTTCATAACAGTCCCAACGGGCAATCACCAACAATGAATACCAACCAAGTCCAAGCACTGCTTGAACTTGTAAACCGGAAGAGGCTTCGTAAACATATCAGCTAGATTGTCCTTCGTATGAATTTTCTGAACAATGACTTTTCCCTCAGCAATGATATCCCGAATAAAATGAAACTTCACATCGATGTGTTTTGTTCTCTCATGATACATCTGGTCTTTAGTCAAATGAATATCACTTTGACTATCACAGTAAATTGTAGTAACACTTTGATGCAGACATAATTCGCTGAACAATCCTCTTAACCATAAAATTTCTTTGATCGCCTCTGTCACTGCCATATATTCTGCCTCTGTAGTAGATAAAGCTACGACAGGTTATAAGGAAGCTTTCCAACTAACTGCACAACCGCCAACGCAAAATACATAGCCTGTCAAAGATCTTTGTTTATCAAGATCCGCAGCATAATCAGAGTCGACGTAACCAACCAAAGTGTCACGATTTTTCCCAAATTCCAAATAAACATCTGAAGTCCCTTGCAAGTATATGAGAATCCACTTCACAGTCTGCCAATGTGTTTTACCTCGGCGAGACATATATCTACTAACCACACTGACTGCTTGTGAAATATCTGGACGAGTACAAACCATTGCATACATAATACTGCCGATGACACTAGAATATGGAACTTTCACCATATATTCTTCCTCTTCAACTGACTGTGGTGACTGAGCAGCACATAGCCGAAAATGGCTAGCAAGAGGAGTACTAACTGGCTTAGCATTTTTCATGCCAAACCTCTCCAAGACTTTCTTGAGGTAATTTTTCTGAGTCAGAAATAATTTTCCAACTCCTCGATCTCTTTTGATCTCCATGCCAAGAATTTTCTTAGCTGCTCCCAAATCTTTCATTTCAAATTCACTACTCAGCTGCATTTTCAAAGTGTGAATTTCTGACAAATTCTTAACTGCAATAAGTATATCATCAACATAAAGCAACAAATACACAAAAGAGCCATCAGTTAACTTCCGGAAGTAAACACAACTATCATACATGTTCCTCGTGTAACCATGACCTAACATAAAAGAGTCAAACCTCTTATACCACTGTCTTGGAGACTACTTCAATCCATACAAGGATTTCTTTAACAAGCAAACCTCTTATATGGAGGTTGCTCCATATAAATTTGTTCTTCAAGTTCACCATG